CAGGCGCTTTATCAGCAGACGAACGGCGCAGGAAAAAAGCTGTGGATGAAGACCCGAACGAACGACTAATGGAGCCGGATAGATATAACCCAGTTCAGTGACGATGACTAGAAAGGCGACTTCCGAATGACTCGCGCATCCTTCAACGAGCTGGTGTCACTTGTGGCACCATTCATGACTAATAAATTGAACTGTGTGAGCGGATCCGCGCCTTTAGAAAAGAGGGTGAATACCGCTCTATCCAAAATAGTAAGTTGTCACGAACACCGGGTACTAATCAGTTAGGTGTTTACAAGAGCACTGTGAAGAAATGCGTCTGCATGTTCTTCCGTACCATCGTCAAGTATTACCTGCGGGAATATATACAACTGCCATCAACAGAAGAAGCAGAAAGCATTTCACGAAACTTTGAAGCGAGGTGCCACCCTCTACACATTTTTGGAGCCATCGATGGCACTCATGTCCCAATCCATGGCACCCAAGAAAGGGTATCGGGATTTTTTCAACAGAAAGCTGTGGACTTCCCTTAATGTTTCAGTGATCATGGCAAGTAAGTTTTATTTCAGGGAATCTTTCACATTCGCAGCACAACTTCTGCACAAAGTTGCTATAACCTACCGAGTGCTAACACCATTGACCACTAAGCTGACAGGGCGGTTGAAGCTACCTGCTCACCGGAAAAATTCAGTGGTAGGCTTTTACCTGACCCCTCTCTTTGTACACATAAGCACGTAGAAAGGGTTTAATCTTGTTGAACTGACACTTGACTGGCCCGAGCATGCAGCTTCCGGTTTCCTGAGCTGTCTAATGGGCGAATGGGGTATTTTACTTGTTTTGTTTTTAGAAACATAATCAGCCTGGTTTGAAGCATCAAAATATTGTGTCCAAAGTAACCGAAGCACAATAGAGACGAAACACACCCACTAGTGGTCACCCTCGCATGTCCACTTCCTATAGGTGTTGCATGTACGGTGGCATAGAAGAAGTCATGGTATTTGTAATTTTCAGATTCCCCAAAATTCACATGCAATGTCCCTGAGAGTGCACATGATGCACCCGCCCTAAGGCTGTCAACGGCGTACCTTAGCGGCGAAGAACTTCAGCCAAGGAGAGAATATTTCGTAAACGTCCAACCAATTCCATTCATGCTACTCGGTGACTCTGCCTATCCCCGGCTGCCATGGATTTCGGAGGGCTATATGTGACGAAGTGACCGAATGATGGACGAAACAAACAACGGACAAACACAATCAGGACAACAGACAACACGTGCCACAGGACTTACCAAAAAAAGAAACATCATGCAATGTGTACAGCAGCGCTGGCCACAACGTCGTGGAACACGTATTTAGAAGCCTCGGGGCACTGTGGCGCGTAACACTGAAGCGTACGAACCTTAACTGCAAGTTTATGCCAATAGTTATTGTAGCGGCATGCATCCTGCGCAACTTTTCTGAACAGATGTTGGAAGGTGTTAGAGATGCGTGGATTAAGCCTGTCAAAGATTGTGAGCATCACCTTTATCAGTAGCCCGCAAGTAGTCCTCGAAATGCTAACGCTATTTGTGAAGTGCGAGACTTTTGAGAGGCTATTTGGAGCGAAAGTTTATATTGCATTCTGATTCCTGGTAAATGGCGATTTTCAGCTGAAGCATATTTAAAAACCTGAATATGTGGCTGGCACTAAATATGTTGGGTAACTCTGCCAAGAGCACTTTTTATCACAGAAAGGCAACTCTCCAAAATACAAGTTGAGTAAACCACTGATGTTTGTCGAAATGACTTTTATAAAAGTGTAAAGGCACACAGGTAAGCTAAAATTGTGCCGCAAATGATGAAAACAATACAATTCAGCACTTGAATTTGCAAACAAAAACCTCTCAATACACTAAAATATTAAGGTCGGTTAGTTGGTTCGACACACTACAGGGTCGTCGAGGTAAATCCGGACTTTTTTCAGATTTCGTTGCTCAGCATTACAGTGCAGCTAACCGGCCGTATTGCGTTTCTGCGGCCACCTGTTTCGTCAGCGGACCATCGCATAATAAACAATTCCCGACTTGCTCAAAATTGAACAGAGTACATTCGAAAAGGCAGAAATTCTTGAATCGCTTCGCCCCGGGAAGTCACCTAGGAAAATTATTGCGTGTTATGACTACAAGAAGGCACAAGTTCACAGCATTGCCAAGACGTCCAGGTAATCTGTCGGCCAAGAAGACGTTTTGGCATACCGAGCGAAGCACAGAAAACGGTCCATATTCATTTCATCTTTGCCTCTTTGTGTTCACGTAAGAATGGTGAATTTTACGGATTTATCTCGACAACCCTGTAAATATTTAAAGCGCAGGATATAGACAAGGGCATGAAGGCAGGACAGCGCTTTTCTTGATTCTTTTTCATTAAAACGCCACTAGTGAGTACAACACTGTCCCATCTTCTTCACGTCCTCGTCTGCCAATTCTGCTTTATATATTTAATATTTTCGATACACTGCGCACGTGAAATGGTTCGTTGGCCCGTAGGAGGAATCGCACTAACTTTTTTAGGACCATAACTTTACATGAAACCGGAGGCATAAAAACCCTGGCATAGGTATAGAATACGCAAAATAACTGAAATTGAGTTCCTTTCTTTCTTTCTTCCTTTGTGTCAGTGCCTTTTGCTAAGAAAGAAAACGACGGTCGTGTCAGCAGGGGACTGGTGGTCGCGTGCGTTAGTGCACCACAGATCGGAGCATGTGCAGCGAAGGCTTGCGCAAGAGAACCGAGGGATCCTGAGCTCAATACCTACCCCTGCCTGCTTTGATCTGGACGAGAATCGTATTGGCGTGTGGTAGCGTATCACTACTGTGTATTGCACGCTAAAGATCCCAGGCTAGCAGTTGTGGTGCACCGGCTGAATTTCTCATCTACACCATGTAACAATATCACAAAGAGTGAACAAGGCTTACAAGTTACCGCACAAATTTTCCACAAATTTGTGGCTATACCCCTATTGCAGGTTCAGAAACCTGTCAAGAAAAGCGCCTCCAGGGAAGTCCTCCACTTCAGCAGGTTAAATTCTGGAATGGAGGCGAGTGTGTTTGCTCTCTTGCCTGCTCTCCGGCATTTACTCTGATAAAGTGGTAAGGGTGGACGACTTCGCCGGTGGCGCTTGTCATGCTTTTCCTGACCTGTAAAAGGGTATAGCCACACATTTATGGACATTTGTGCAGTAACTTGCAAGCCTCGTTAAAGCAGTTCCTTCAAAGGGTGAACAATCCATTTGACTTCCACCATTGTGCTACCAGACTGTTCTAAATAAAGTATGAAAGTACAAATAAGTAAAAGATATCGACCCCCAGGTCAAAACGTCCCACCTATCAAAGGATACTCAGGCATCTCGCTGCAGCTGACTTGGCAGCAACAAATCGGCTTGACTTGCGAAGGCATAGGCCTGACCTGGGGGCACGAGGTTAGGCCCAGGTCAGGCAGTACTCGCGTACTGCCTGACCTGGGGAGGGAAAGCTTGCCAGGAAGGCAGGTTGCAGAACAAGGAAAATGGAAGAAACTCCCATGAATTAGCAGTTCTGATATCATTGCCTGTGTGCCTTGCAGGAACGAGGTACTAATGCCTGTCATAATTGCTTAAATGTTTTTTTGTTTTTTTTAATCTTGAGCAGCTCCTTTTGCTGCTGAGAGGGTACCTCCGAGTGTTCTTTAAGTAATTCAGCACTATACCTATGCTGCTCGGTTAGAAGCTCTTTGAGGTCGAAGTTCTTGCCCTGTTTTGGCCGCTTTGGCTGTCGCCCTGAAGAACCGGCGTCCGTTTTTGCCAATCAGCAGAGAACAAGTGTAAAAACAATCAATATTATATAACAGATCTCAGTGATCATTATAGAAGGGTTAACATTTTACATATGTAAGGGTTCCCTCGCTGCTACTATTTCTCGCACCATGATACCAAGAACCATGCGCATACGCTGCGACGGCCTTTTATCAGTGGCGTAGCGCCGCTCGCGTGATTAATTTCACTTGGCCCCCTCGCGGTCGGAATTACTATGGACGATTTGGCATGCGGGCCACCTGGTCCGCGGCTTTGGGTTCCCGGTTTCCCATACGTTTTACACATTTAAATTTTAACTTGCAGCCATAAGGGAATCGTGGGTCACGAGCACTTTCTGTAAATACGCATGGAACCAAAAGGTTAACTTACACGACGAGGTGCTAGGTAAGCAGTCTTAATCGTCGTCTCCCAGGATTTCATGAATGGTTCTGAAGCATTTTAACGCCATAGAAGTAGCAATTTGTTCAGAGATTTACTTTTATTATTTTGGTGGTATCGCTACTTTGATTAAGCGTGCCGTTTGCCAGTGTACCGCTCTTCCAGTTTACTTTTAGGTGTATGGCATGTATGTGGTGTGATAATAGCCCTTTAAGACGTTAATTTGTGATATCGCTTTCTTTTTCTATGGCCATCGACTGATTGCATAAAAAATGTATAATATAAGGTGTTCTCAAAACAACTCAAAGTCGCGACGTGCGCAATGAAGTTGGTCAGAAACGTTTTTATTGAAAAAAAAAATGAAAAAGCTCCAACCCTCCGCTCTTGATTGATACCATAAGCGGAGAGAGGAGGTGATTATTGTTAGGAACGGGGTGGGGGGTTAGCAATGAACGAGTGAGTATTGGCACCCAGTGTTCGTTTGATTTTTTTTTGTTAACACGAAAGACAAGTATGATCATTTAACAGCTGAACAATGTGTCACTGCAACTAGGTCTACGGTCATTGAACAAAAATGAGTACGCCTTTCTTTTTTTTTTCATTTGATATCTTGAATTATTTGCCTGGGTGTGTCTGCGAATTCTTATTCGTTATTTTATATTATGAAGTCGGATGAATAGGGTGGCACTGGAGGCTTCATAGTGCTTGCTATTTATACCTGGTTTTCGTTTTTGTGTGTTTTTAGGAATCTGAATTTTAACACTTAACACGTCTCGTGTGCTGCCATTTATCTTCCAGAGGAGTTAATGGCCATGAATCCTTTGACCACCTTGTTGACTGAAGAAGAAAAATTAGATCTTCTGGATGAGGCGACCAAAGAAGCTACCGAACTGTGGACTCAGCAAGAAGATCGAGGACGTCCAATTGAACTGGATCTGATCACAGTGTGCGCATCCAAACTTGCACCATAGGCGCAGTTCAAAGAGAGGTTGCGTTGCAGTTTTCTGTGTGGATACATAGTTTTTGGGAAGCAATAAAAGGAGATGAGCTATACCGCGGCACATAATTTTCATGCATATATTTTAACCAATTACATTTGGGAACTGTACTTACCTTATAGTGCACATCAAAGAGCGCAGTATTTCTTTCTCATTGAAAAGAAAAATAAGTTAACAATTGTTTTAATTAGAGGTTTCGGTGAAAGTGTCAACACTGTCAGAAAAAAAAAGAGAAAGGTACGTTACGTCTTCGTCCGAATTCGCCTAGTTTGCAGATTTCTGGTTGTAACCGAATCTTTCTTTTTTTTTTTTAATTAAATGACGAATCATTTAGTCTTCTGTATGATGACAAACTCCAAGAACAAAATGAGATGTACGTATACAGTTCGTTGAAGACAAAGTAAGAAAAAAGCGAGCTAATTTATTTTGTAGTTAATTTAAACCGGAGATGACGAAAACAAAGAGCTCAACACATAGCGCATTTTTAAAATAATATGACTAAATATTATTGACAGACCAATTGTTATGCACACCACACTTTGACACATGTTGCAACCTTCACCGATTGTGCACACGTTCGTCCAGCCTCTCGTCCTGCCATGACATTCCATCGCCATGGCCTCATCATCTCGTGCTGCCGGCATACAACTTTTTCATCAGGTATAGACGCTTTCAGGCAGCTGTGCATGCGCGCCGCCATAACCGACCTTCAGTTTTTGTTCCATCTTATTCCGTTCGCTCCACTTCATCATTACCACAGCAGGACAGGTTATTGCCACCTTACGTGCTACTCTGTCCTTCTCCCCAGCATAGGCCCTTGTGTTCACTCGTCAACGCCCGCTTCAGTGGCTCGGCACCTCGGTAAGGCTGAGCCACTAAATGAGCTGCGCTTAGAGTATCGGCACTCCATTCCCCGACATTGTTGTGGGCGCCGCCATTTTGGGGCTTCTGCAGAGCAGACGCAACTGCCGTTCGTCTTGATTCAGAAGTGCGACTTCCTCAGCATTAGATTCGGTGTTAGTAAGCTCTAGCAATATTGATTTGCTCTGTCGCGAACTGTTTAAACATTCGTGGAAGACGGAAAAGTGTTTTCTGTGATTTCAGATAGAGCTTCAGATAACTGGCAGCCATGATTTTAAGCCACAATATGGTCAAGTGTCGTTACTCTGAATCGTAGCTTATTTAGTGGCACTAGGTAAGGCAAGAGAAGGACAGCTATGGCGGCTCAATCTGGCGCGCGCTGAAAGTGTCTATAGGGGGCACTGATCTCTATTGTGGTATAAAGCCCCTCGATATGTTTGCGTTTGTCGTGCAAGTAGCGTCAAATGCGCGAGTGCACGAGACCCGCGTTTCGAGCGGCCCTTGGAAGCGAATGGCGGCGCAGCACTGAAATGAGCGGCCCTAGGAAGCGAATGGCGGCGGAGCACCCGCTCGTGGCACGTGTCTCGCGCGGTTCCCCAACAATGGTTGGCGGTACTTGTAAAAAACGCCTTTATCAAGGGGCTTTATTGTGGTAGGCTGGATCACGGATCGGGAGCCCGTCGGTGTCGCCACCGGCGGCCATTGCTTGACACCAGGCATTACACACAAGTTTATGGTAGAAACACACAAAAGTAGAATATTGAAGCATGTACGCTGTGCTCGGAGGCGAGTATTTTATGGTGTGCTGCGATCCTTATGTCGGGTGTTTGGAGATCGAATCAGTATTTGTCAAACGTTAGAACGCCGATTAAAACAATCAAACGTACCGGAGCACCTACGGCTGAGCTGGCAAGCTTGCTCTCGTAGTGGAGTAAACAAAGGAACTTGCCGCCCATGAGACCGTCCTCGGGGAAGCCCAGAAGTTGATGAATGACAAAGAAGTTCTATCTCGACAGCGGCGTTCCGGGAGTGAGCGAATTCCGCGTAGCAAAGCCTTCCGAGCTCCTCGTCTGCTAAACGAAACGCAACGAAACCGTCACCGACTCCACGGTAACTCTCGCCTCATTGAGCTGCACTACAATTTTCGCCAGCGAAGTCACTCTCGACTACAAAATATTTATTTTTAAGAGCTGCGAGGGCTGTCACTTTCAATGTTTTACACGCAAGCTCTTTGACGGGCTTATCGAAAAGCAGCTAAAAAGTTTCAGTGGCGACAACAGCTTAGAAATGGGAGAAACGGGGCTTTTTCAACGTTCTTCCCATAGAGTCCCATTCATTGGCTGGTGTCAATCAATGGCCGCCGGTAGCGACACTCGGCCCGATCTGCCGAGGCCGCGGTCCGTGATCCAGCCTACTACAATAGAGATGAGTGATAGGGGGTATTCACTGGACACCGTATTTGAGGGAGCTGTTTAGAGCCCATGCTCAAAACAAGCTCAGAAAAATATAGGCTGCTAAGAACGGCAATCTTGAAGGTGTGGAATGCATGTTGCAAGAGAACTGTGGAAGCTCGCCCCCACCACGCGCTCAGCATTCGCTCACGCAGCTAGGGCCGAGACACAAAAATCAGTCCACATGTGCCAAATTACAGTCCAGCCAGCGCTCGCTCGCAATTGCAGCCAGCCAAAAAGTGCGCGTGAATAAGTCACAAATAAAGCGATGAATGCGTGCTCATACGCTTTTATGGAAAGGTGTATAAATAGGTCAACTCACCTTTTTCGGTGTCCACCACAAGACAGGAAATTTACGTGCATAATAGCGTGCGTCTTTGTCAAACCTGTATTTCTTGGGACTGAGGGTCATTACAAAGTCGGAATATATTACACAAGGTGGCCCAAGATGAATTGAAAAAAACTTGAAGGACGCTCGAACGTCGCATTTAAAGGAGCTGTGCAACAATTTCGGTGTTTTGCTTAAATAATTTGGGAGTTGGTGCCGCGACCTTTCTGAAGCAAAGAACCAAAAAAAACTTTTGCCTGCATATACTAGTTTTTATTTAAAAAAATTGACAAAGATTGAGGTTTTCGGCACTTCTCAAGTCCTTCTCCACCTTCCGAGTCACGCGCGCCATGACATGAAAGGAGGACGCGCGGGGTTCCGGTGAACCTCTATCGCTAGAGCTATAAGTGAGCAGCGAGAACTCACCCGCTCCCGACCACGTGACAATGTGCTTGCGCAGCGCGATAAACATGACAAAAGGAGGAAAGTGACAACGTGCTCGTCCGGGTCCGGATCCGGCCATACCCGTCCGGCTTTGCCCCTGTCCCCCTCCGGCTTCTGGCGGCTGTTTGTGGTGCAGATACAGCTGACGGTTTTGTTGACCTCGAATAGATTACCCCATTAAAACTCCGTGTAATGAAAGTTTTGTCGATGATACCAGGTTTTTGACACCTTTATATTTATTGGAACGACAAGATTTATAGAAAAGTTACCTTTTATCAAGCAGGTTATTTACAGAACTTCCTATCTTTTTAAACGTGCCCCTTTGACGTCACGCCGCGTGGTTCTTATGGCCGACGCTCGTGGCTGCAGGTCGGGAAATATTCTAAGTTTTGCTTCGCGTCTACGCAGTGGAATCACAACATTTCGGAGGAAGAAGATGTATTTTCTGTCCTTTGTGAGAACACAAATAATGTCAAAAGTAGAAGAGGCAAATTCTTTCAACATTAAAATCGTTGCGCAGCTCCTTTAAGAGTGGAACGCGATTATGTTATCAAAGCCCGTACGCATCGCCTTCTCATTCGCCGTGCAAGCGTGCCTTGCGCGGCTTAGATAATGGCGTGTCTGGCTCACATTCGAAAGGTCGTGGGTTTGAATCCCACCTAAAATTCTTCAAATTTTTCTTTAAGGCAAATAAATTATTTTATAAAGTGAAAACATTTGAGACATGCGGCGTGCTTTAATTCGGATTATATGTCATGTTTTTTAATCACTTTCATTCCACGCGTGACGTCACGCTTCACGTGAGCGTTGTGGGCTGTTTCAAATTCTCGCGCGAGGTCATTCGGCCGTGGTGTCATGACCCTAGCGACCAGTCAGGATTGGCGTCACGCCATCGACGCCGGCTTTTCTCGACACGCGCGACAGGTTTTGCGGGCGTCACGTGACAACACTGGCTTTCGCGATCGCGCGCGCGCCTCCCGTCGGATTTCTTGCCCTTTCGTCGTCTGCTCTTCGTTAGATACTTCCGTTTCGGCTCTCATCTTTCGCATATATCAGCATCGAAACCGCACTCGCTGCCTACATGGTACGTGTCCATGATTACCTGGTGATCAGCGTGAATGTGATTATCCTAGCCTGTTAATTGATCTTGCGACGTAGCCGCGCTCTGAAGGGAAGGAGGCGCAGGTTTTGGGTCCGGCCGAGTTGGTTCTACCGAAACACCGAAGGACAGGTCAGTGCTTTGCTAGCCCGGCGGCGCGCCAGATATGAAGGCTACTTTCGAAAGTGTCACCAAATCAACACGACATCCGTCACAGCAAAGACGACATGCAACAAGTGCCACGGAGAAACTCACTTGTAATTCCGAATTCCTCTCCTATAATTTCCCAGCGGTTGTTCTTATCGTCATTACCTAGGTAGTCCGGCTGCGTCTTGTCATATAAAAAGGGAAACAGTCGCACAGTTTCAAGGAACCGCTCCGTTGGGGAAGGCATCGGGGGGCAATAGGAATAGCAGGCGACACGAAACAACGCTACGTTCTTCGGACCGTGAAAGACCCGCGGAGGACCGGCTTGAGCGTCGCCATTACATCGCAACGTCACTATCTACGCGATCTCCTATTGGCTCCTCTCTTCTGCGACGAGGAGCGACAAGTTTAGAACCGCGCAAGGAGCGGTTGGCTCTGCGGCGCTGTACGTTGCGCCGTTGAAGCCGAAAACTAGTTTTGGTCGGCAGCCGGCCGCGCCGACCGGCGCGCCGCAGGCCTCCGCGACGCAAATGTGGTGGTGTCTTAACGCTATCGCGTTAAAATCCTAGTTTCAGCGCTATTTCAGCACACGGAGCAACACCATTATTCAGTGCCTGTTCACAATCGTCTTTTGATTTACGAA